ACAATGAACATATGATGAAAATATTTCCAAACACCTTAAAACTACTATATTTGAACTAAATGGTGTTTTGACTAAACAAATCAAATTTTGATTGAGAAAATACTTGTCTTCATTTAATAGATTAATCTGTCTTAAGCCATGTTTGGGAGTGCTTATGTTAAAAATAAGTGTCTAAAAATAAGTGCTTATTCAAATGAGCACTTATTTGCATTTGGCACCCAATTTTTTCAAGTGCTTATTTTAAAAATTAAGCACTTATTTCTTATTGAGCGTTTGGTAGTCTTTTTCTATAATAAGCATTTGTGACTATTTTATCCTTCATTTTCTTTCAAATTTTACGAAAGTACTTTTATGAAAGTATATTTTTAGAAGCACTTTTATGAAAACACTTTTATAAAAGTACTTTTACGAAAGTACTTTTATAAAAACACTTTATAGAAGTACTTTTATATAGACACTTTTACAAAAGTACTTTTATGAAAGCACTTTAATAAAAACACTTTTACAAAATTCCATTTTTGAAAGCACTTTTACAAAAGTGCTTTTATAAAATTCAACTAGGGGTAGTTTTATAAGTGGTATTTTAAAATTCAACTAGTGATAATTTTGGAAGAAAAAAATTAAATAAGTGCTTATTGTATAAGCACTTAAAAAAAGCTGAAAATTTGGGCTTAAAAAATAAGCCCTTATTTTTAAAATGAGCACTTATTTTGAGCTTATTTCCCAAACACCAATAAGTGCTTAATGGTGTGGTCCCAACCCCAAAGGCACATTCCCAATCAAGCTCATTGGCTACGGAGTATGCTGACCATGCAATCCAACTGCATGAGATATCCATGCCCTTCTCGTATGCTGTCTAAATCTTTATGAATCATCACAATCATCCCTTATCCATCTGATGACCACTTGAGAGTCTCCATTCACCTCAATCTCTTCAAATCTTACTGTCCATTGACTTTATGGGAAAGCTAGACTATAAGTGAATGATTTAGCTGAGATTTTCAAATAGTTACTAATCATAGAGATAACAAACAGAGATTAATTCTGAATGCAGAAATATCCAGACTTTCTGAGAAAGCTAGCACCTGGAGTATAAGTGAATGACTAGTAGTTAACCCATCCTTTAACCTCTTGACTAGCAAGACTATAAGTGAATGATTTAGCTGATCTTGGTATCAATCTAAACATGATTTTCTCTGCACATCTCTACACACTGATATTGGCATTCTATGATAGATGATATGGTTTATTTTCGTCTTGTTTGTATAATGAATATTCTGCTCTCTACACACTTCATGCACAGTACTCTTTTATAAATCTTCTAAAGAAAATCTTTGAGTCAGTAGACGATGGACCGATCTCTTTTGGCATTTCGTGAATTTTGATACTTTGTTTCATTTAGGTGTAAGAGAGGAAGGCTTGCTACATATGCATTGGTATTTTCATGTATATACTGCAAATCTGGAAGCCTTAAGTTGATTCAATTGAAATTTTAAACAGTGGACGAAATTGCAAGCTTGTCATGCTTTACTGCTTGTTAAGATACAAATTGAAAATTTTTTATGCATATGAAAATAAGTGCTCTCCACGTGGCAATGATTGAGGTTTTGTACTATTAGATTGGAATTTGCAGGGCTCAATTCAGTGATTTAGTCTATCCAGAAAATTGAAAAACTAAATATTACCAGTCAACTTTTAATACTTTTCTTTTTGCTTGTCAATTTCTTATCTACAATTTTGCATTATGATYGATGAAAAAATAGAAATTCACAGAGATTCAAATGTTTGAATTAATATGGATTTGTTTCTTCTGCATGCAGATATTTTAATTCATTGCAGAGTGAGTGCTTCTCTGGATGTTATCTCTCTGACATAAACATGGTCATTTCAGCACCCAACTGGGCAACTGGTAGTGGTTAAACAGTCTTATTTGAACTGTGCATTTTGAGGCTTCTCTCAAAGTTCCTCTCAAAGGAAGGAGAGTTGAGTCATATAAAGGGAACTCTCAAAACAGTACGTTTACTACCTCTACATTCCTTAAGACTCAAACGTCCATAATCAAGCCCTTTTTCAATCAAGTTTTGCATTTAAGAGTTGTTGATATTTTATTCTATTGATTCTGATCATGTCTAAACTAAATGTTCTCAAGGCAACTCTAAATCGCAATTTTGGTGCTTTTAGCCATATTATATGTCGATAACCGATCTTGATTAACATTTAGTACCTTCCAATTTGACATAGAACAGTTTACATCTTGAGTCTTTGAACGTGCATGCTTTAGGGGAAATCTATGCCTTTCTGACTGGTATTTTATTTCATTGGTAAAATATATTCCCTTACCAAGACTGACACCTTTCATTTGCTTGAATGTTGCAAAAAGATATATATATATATATATATAGCTCCATCAAAGGCCTTGGTACAAGAGAAGCTCTGGGATTGGAACTAGAAGCTTGGTTCATGGGCGGTCAATTGTATGGAGCTTATAGGTGACAGCGATTCTTATAACATAAGAAATATACAAGTAGATATTAATCTAACTACACTCCTGACTCCTGAGGTAAATAATTGGGGGTTTTTCCCTTTTTTCCTAACTTATTGAATTCAAATAGACACTGATTCAATTTGATAACATCTGGTTTGATTCGATTGTATATGTATGATATATATATCAATTATTTATTTAGTTTAATTTATTGATTTACAGTTTGATAGGTCAGCTTTTTTTATAGGATAGCTGAACCTATCTATCCCTTTACAAAAGCTGTACTTATTTTGTTATACATAGATGGTTTTGGACTTTTGACGAATAGTTGTATTGCAAAAGTTTCTTTTTTTTGTTCCCTGGTTTTCGCCCACGTACCTTCCATTCCCTCCTATCTCTCCCTCTCGCACGCAGCACTGAACGAGATCTTTTTTCCTTCTTCCTCGGTTTTTACAAAATTATTGGGTTGCTACCGTTATTGGTAGTAGTCAAACTCTGCCCACCATGCACCCATCCACTCCTTTTCTCTCCTTACTAGACGCTACCAAAGCTACCTTCCTCTCCTTCCTTTTCATTTCTATATTTATACTACATCAAATCTGTTCTCGTCTTGCAGCAATGTGTTCAAGTTCTTCATCTTAACCAGCAACCATGCAATCAAGAGTAAATACTAAATAGGTGTACGCAGGGCCCCTCTGCCAGTATATATATTAAAGCGAAAGGGGGTGTTCTTCCCTTTCGCAAAACGGAATCTTACCGTTAGTTATTTACATCAATGAATTGCACGTGTGAGACAAATGTCTATCTCCTCTGATTACTTCCATTTTGCATGCATGACGCGTGTAAATTTTTTCTCTTGTTTGCAGCTTATTTTTCCCGCTCTCCCCACCTTCCCTCCTGTTGCCCCTCTCTTCCCGCTCTCCCTCTCATCTCTACCTCTCTTTCCGCTTCCTCTTTCCTCCCTCATCTGAATCCCCTTCTTCTGTTTTAACCCATGGATTACGATTTGGTTTGCAGTGCGAAGTCTTCCAAGAATCCAGTGTCGTCGAGCTCGTGTCGGCCATGGCCGATGGATGGAACCCTCTGCTAATCCTCAAAGCGTGGCATAGAGAAGGAATCGTGTCAGACGAACAGTCAAGATCCGATCATCCGAAACGTGGTTGCCATGCGTGAGGCAGGCATTTCGCTGGAAGTAATCGTGGGAGAGGCGGAAAGTGATGGAAGCACTCTCTGGCATCGATTTCCTGGTGGTGGATCGCCGGCGGAAGGACTTCGCTAGGGTTCTGAAGCATGCTAGATTGAGCACCCGGGAATCAGGCGAAGAGTATTTGTTCCGGAGATGAAGTTTTGCCTCTAATACTTTACATTTTCCTGTTTCTTTAAAACGAAGAAAAGTCTTCATGGATTCAAGTTGTTCTAATTGTAGGTTGCAGTCATATCTGATTGGATTGAATATTTAATTAGAGAGAGAGAGCACGAAAATCAGATTCAGATAGTGCCCAATCCTTAGTATTCACCACCATCGATAAGTTCTGATCTGTTCTATTGGTTTGCAGCTGATGGAGGCGGTGGGCTTCGATTGGGTTCTTGAGAGCTCTACCCCCTCCCTCCCTAAGAAGCATCTGGACCTTCTCATTGTGAGTTGGCAGATAGCCATGCGGATTGCTTCCAGTATCCTTGTTGACTCGCCCCCATTCATAACCTGTTGGTGTAAGCTTGTATGCAGTTAATGAGCAAGAGCCTGGTGTAAAACTGCAAGTGAGGATGATGCACTTCTCTCCATCCCACTGTTTATTGTTTTCCAGAATCCTAGCATGAGTTGTGAGATCCTGTAAAAGTAGAATGGAAACTCCATCAAGGCCTGATTTTATAATACTGAACTGGTACCACTACAGCCTGCAGTCTGCATGGCCAGGTAAGAAAGCATGCTTAGTTAAAAACAAATACTTGAGGGGACAACTGTGGAAAGCTCATTTGGTTGTGTATGCATCCATCGCAATGGCATGTAAGAAATCATGCTCAGGAGGAGCAGATGGAAGATGGACCTGTTGACGAGTCCCCCACTGTGGTGGCATGGCAATACAGTGGATTTCTTTAACCTGAGGATTGTCTGTGGACTTGTACCATATAGGTACCCTGCAATTTGAGTACGCAGATCTGCTATACAGATAAACTTCTCCAAGATATTTTTTGGCTTGATGTATTTCTATTTCTACCCCGTTTCCTGTTATCGTAAAGTTTCATTCAACGTCTTTAAGCTCTCCATGTTCAAGCCAAAGAGGAACAATAAAACCAGTAAATAAAATACCTTGATGTCAACCGAATTCACATAAATATGATTTGACTCGGAGATAAAGATTTGTGGCTGAGATTGCTCTCACACGCCAATCAGTTTTGGACCCAAAAGCTTGCTTCTCATATGGACTTGTGGTGGTGACAATAAGTTCATCACCGTGCACATTTGTTTTCCTTGTTGTGATAGCTGTAATCTGTCTGGCTTCTTTTGCCAGCAAATGAAATTCTAGAAGCAACAAATCAGCAAAGCGACGAGCATAGACAATTCTATTCAAGCATAGGAGCTAAATATTACCTGCTTCTCAATCTCTGCTATCTGTTGCCTCTGTTGTGAAGGTTGAGTAATCTCAGTTCCTAGTATTATGTCACGAATCTTAGATTGGGTAAGAGCTGAAGTATTCACATTATTCTTCTTGGCATAATCTGATAGTATAAGATTTCTCAATGCAACCTCAACCTGCCTGGTAGAAAATCTTAGCAACAAATAAGTAAACATGAACAGAGGCACATTTTTACAATACTAGGATACGGGCAGGTACAAATTTAATTAGGTCTCTCAAATATTTTGAAGTTACCTTCATCCATTGATCATCTGTGAGAGAAGGCCAGATATTGTGTGGTTCAGTGATAATAGTTTTGTCGGGCTTCAGTAACATTTTTGCCTTCTCGTTCGTTGTTTACGTAGTGCACGCAGAATTAAGATGAGAGGAGAGAATGCGGTATATGATGAGAAGTTCTGATCTGTTCTCTCGTGTTTTGCGGGTGGTGGAGGTGGTGGCGACACCAGGCTTTGATTGGGTTCTTGAGAGGTCTACCCCCACCCTCTCTCTTTCTGTCCTCCCTTACGAATTTTCCCTATGACGATCTGTCCCTTGTGTGTTCCGACTTCTGAGTCTTCTGACCACCCCACTTAAATCAAAGAATCCCACACCTCTTCAATTGATCTTTATCGCTTAATTATCGGGTTCCTTCCTTTCTTTTTATCTTCCCTTTCTCTCCTCTTTTGGCTTACACTTGTTGTGGTGGAAGCTGCCCTTCGTTCTTTTTCAAAAATTCAGTTGGGTTCTTCTATCTCTGTTTCATCTCAACTACGCGGCTCTCTTTGTTGTATATTTTTCTTTTGTTGAATTGATGCGTCACTTTTTTATCCAGGTCTGTAAGTTTCGTTTCTGGGCTGCAAATTTTCTGAGTTCTGAATCGAGAAAAGGGCACAAGGCTATGGAGTTGAGTTCTACTTTGACCCTGCACGGGAAAATCAGGTCTTGAAGGCTTGGAATGTCCTTGCTCGTCGCCAAATCAGTACCCAGCTTATTGAGATGGAATCTCGACCACACAAAGAGCTTTGCTTCGAAGCAAGAACCGTTGCCTTTATCATTTTCTACAAAACTTGTTGGTTCACAAGGTGAATAACATGTTTGATGACTTTGTTTTGTTTGTAAGATGGTTCCATTATGATACATATAAAATTTGTGTTTCTTTTGGGAATTATATGTTTAATAACTTTGTAAGATCGTTTCTGTACTCCTGCATATAAAATTTGCATTTCTTCTCTTTGTTATGTAATATATATTTTTCATAGCTTAATTGGTTCATTACATTATAGACCCGGATTCGGACCCACATTTATAGCTTTTATTGTTCTTTTTTTATTCTTCCACTTACTCGGTATTACTCGCCCGTGCTGAGCACTGGCGCCCCTCGCTAGTTCTTGCTGATTCCAATTCTCATTTTTGTTTCTACAAACTATGGGAATAAGTGATTCCAATTTCAAAGGATTTTGATTCCGATTCTAATTCCAACTGTGAACCAAATAGACCCTAAGACATGTGTTTGTTCTATAAGGCTGTTTCGAAAAGCAGCTTAAGCCCATTTAGCCCATTCCAACAAATGAAGTCTCATTGGCATGGCATAAAATAAAAGGAATATATCATAAGATTGGAGATAATTCAGAATTGTCTGTGGGGATAGAGGAGAAACATGCATATGTGGCCAATGTAGAGGACCTCTTGTGCCATGGGCAGCTCAAATTAGCCATGTCATCCCTCCAAGAGGTAGAATCAGGACACGTCAATTTAAATTGATGTGATAAGAGAGATCACATCGGCGCCCCACGTGAATATCTCAGCGTACATAGTAAACATCTCCCGTATTTTTCATTGGGATGTAGTATGGGAAGTCGATGTAAACTCGTGATAAGAAAGCCAACGTTGTCTAACGGAAAAAGGAAGAGGCAATTAGAAGCTGATCAACATTCTTATCTTCCTCCATTGTCAATGGAGTAGTTAGAGAGTTACCATCATCACAACGACAGGTTTGAGAATTGGAGCCCCAAAACCTTCGATATCTGTCTAGAGCAGCTTTTCCAACAACAAATTGGACAATGCTACAGATACAGCTACGGGTGATGCAGTGGTCAGTATCTCAGCCAATTTCAAAGTTGGGTTCCTTTCGCCGAGATTGCACATCCCATGCCTAGTGGCTTTGAGATATGACATTGGAAGTTGAGGTTAGAAGGTTCATTTTGATTAGGGGAATCCTTCATCTAAAGTGTAGGTCTAGTCCCCAATTAGTGGCTTTGAGATATGACATTGGAAGTTGAGGTTAATTTGTATTAATTGTTAGTTGGGAACAAGTTCAAGACAAATGGAAAAACACTTCCTATTGGTGCATGATGTTGATGTTGTGGACTTCTTTGAAGGTTCCATTCAAAATGGCATTCATTGACTTTATCTAGGATAGAATTTAAGCAGCTGCACTCTCGATTAAACAACTTCGACATTGAGGTGAAGCTCTTGCACTCAAACATATGTTTCACCAACTATTGCTTGATAGCATAGCATAAATGTGTTAATGGTTACAAGCTAGCTTGTCTATAGATTTGTCACACTTGCGTTCGCCCCTTTATCTTTGCTAATGTCATTTTTGTATGCATCATGTTCGGCTTCATGGACTTGGAAGAGTTCAAGTTGTATCTCTTCAAAGATGCCTCTATTGATGAGCTCCTACTCTAATACCCGGTATCACGAGGTCATTCGTCAAGGCCCCGCATGACACTTGTACAAATAGGGTATAATAGAATAGAGGGTTGCAGGCTTGTAATGCTCTTTGTTTGCAACTTTGTATATAAGGGAGGTGTTGCACCGGTAATGTATTTTACAGGTGGAGTACCAACGAAGAAAACCATTTTATAACCTATTAACAAAGGGGAAATTTTGACTTTTCATTATTTCCATGTTTCATAATGTTTAGGATCAGTTTGGAAAGAGTATAAATGCAAATATGTACAGTGCAAAATTGCAAATACATACAAAATATAAGGTTTTGCACTCTACATTTTTGCATTTGTACTCCTTCCAAACTAAGCCTTAAGTCCTTAAGTCTTGTCAGAAATCGTAGTGTGTGCATGTAATAGAAAGAAGAGCAGTGAGGGGTCCTCTCACCACAAAACTCAAACAAGTATCTTCATCCTTTCATTTTACTAGGGGTGGCAACGAGTCGAGCTTTTTATGAGATGTTTGAGCTCGGCTCGGTTTCAACCGAGCTCTAGCCCAATTCACTGGCTCGATTATTAAATTTGAGCTCAGCTCGTTTATGAGATGTTTGAGCTCGGCTTGGTTTCAACCGAGCTCTAGTCCAATTCACTGGCTC